TGGTGGCACAGGAACCACACCTACTGCTGGAGGAGGAGGTGGTGGCACAGGAACCACACCTACAGCTGGAGGAGGAGGTGGTGGCACAGGAATCACACCTACTGCTAGAGAAGGAGGTGGTGGTGATGGCACAGAAACCACATCTGCCGGAGGAGGTGGTGGCACAGGAACCACAGTTAAACAATCCCCAAGAAGTGCAACCCAAACAGTCCTATCACCCAGTATGCCCCAGACAACAGTTAGTGGTCCAGGTCATGGTACAAATAAAGTCACAACAGGCACCCCACTAACAAAAATCCCAATTGTTTCTCTGCCAACTTCAGACACACCTGAGGATTATTTCAACTTCCTTGATGAAGAAGATTATGATCAGACAATTTCTTCAGAAATCTCTCCAAGCAATGAAACTATCACTCAAGTCATTGCTGTTAATCCAGATGGCGTCTCAGAAGGAATCTTTTACAACATTACAAATCAGACAGTACAAGGTAAGATTTATTATTCTCTTATTTTTGTTAAATTCATCCAGTGCAAGTGAAGCTATAGCCAAGTTTTAATGTTATCTTAAATAATAAAAACACATGCTGGTATAAGAACGTTCCAATTTCATCTGCGTAGGGGGTTGATTTTAATCAATTTTGCACAGAAATTGACTGATGGCAATACATTGTATAACTCGTCTATTGTACGTATTCATCCTTCAAATTTCTTCAGCCTATATTATAAGGAGGGTAAATTTTTATGTATTTTTTCAATTTCTTTGTAAATTATTTCTCATTGATTTTGACATTTACTAGGCCTTTGATCAAGTTCAAATTATATTACATTCTTCATCTGGTATATTTAGTTTCTAATAATGATGAGTGTAACTTTAGATTACAAAACATATTGTTATTTTTAACACTATCAGCACTTTTCAAGACTTCTAATATCTGTAAAAGAGACAGACCCACATGTGTAATAATATTTCGAGGTACCTGCACAACAGGTATCATAATGTCTAAACAAACAAGATGATTGAGTTCTTTAATCTCTATACTGATTAAACAAATAGTTAATTATTCTCTGTTACAATTGATTTAACTTTAAATTCAAATTGTGTGTCAACTTTTTATCAATATAATCATCTATATAACTTTTTAACTTTCATTAACTGTAGAAGACCTTCCACTAATTTCACAGTTTTTTATTCACAGATTACTAAGGTAGTATTCATTTCCCTTTATTCCCGTAATTTACATTTTAGTCAAAGTTCAACAAAAATAACTTGTTAGTATCTAATAAATTTATTCCCAAACAGAATTCCTATTATCACATAATCAGTAACTCGTTAAAAAAACTTAAAATCAATACAGATAATCATCTTAGGATATGTATTTTTTCTAAAGTGTATCCGAAAGGTCCAGAAGTCCCAGCTTCCAACTTTGTTATTGATCCAGACACTGGAATTATCACTCTGGTTGAAGATTTGAATGGAGATATTGGTTTATATGAGTTGGAGATAACAGCATGGAATGGTACAGAATCTACTACAATTACCGTAAGTTCATTTCGTTTCTGACAACTTACACTACATACATCATGCATGTTCGAATTTCATGTTAACAAGCATAGTCACTGTGGGTATCGAACATGACACGACATGACGACTGCTTCAAGCATTGTGTCACATTGCAGCTCCTAAGCAGTTACAATAGACCATTTTCCGTTCACTGCGAGAATCATGCGTTATGCGTGAAATCATTAATGTAAAAACAGGACAAACACTGGTCGTAGTGGCGTCGAACATCGCGTGAGATTTGACAAACGCGAAAATATTTTGGGGGACATTTCCATGCTTAATAATGTGCAGTACACATTTGATGATAGACAATTTTGATTAAGTGAGGGTATTCGAAAGCAATATTCCTCTGTCGAAGATCGGCCGGTCGATGTGAGTTACGAAATAAAGAAATTCAAGTTCAAAATCAAATCATTCGATTTTTGTGGCAGACGTTTGACGTGCGTCTTTCATGCATCTCACGAGATTTCACAGTTGAATGAAAAATCACCCATTGAAATGATGATTGAGGGGAAAATATTTTGATTGAGTTTATAAGCAGAAAGACGCATTTATAAGAGCAGATTTTCTTTGGCAATATGTGTATTGATCAAAACAAAGGATTTACAAGTTGAGGGTATGCAGTGTATGTGTGATTAGTGATCTCACATGAATTAAAGAAGTTTCACAAATTGCAAGATGATTAAAAAATCTCAAGAAACCTTCCTTGACTAGTAAGGCTATGAAAGAATTAGTTTGTATGCTTTTCAGTCCATTTGTTCTTATTGAAAGCATCTAATATGTGCATTTTGCCTTTTTGAATTCGGCAATAATCTTTAAACATTTCCAAGCACCAACTGCGTTCTGTGATGCTGTTGGTTAGAAATGTGATTGATGCAGGTGGAATGTGATTATTTTCAAACGCCCCCAACGTGTGAGAGTTTATTTCAATGCATCATACCTTAATCTTTTATGAAATGTGTTTTTTTTCCTGCTTAGGTTGAGTTGATAGTGGTGAGCCCCAACAACACAGCACCACATTTTAAAAGTCCATCTTACGAGGCTGAAATAACAGACACAGATCCATCAGGGACAGATGTTGTTAAAGTCATGGCTGATGATGACGATGCACCTGTATATGGAAATGGACAAATCAGATTTGAGGTTGATGAAGATAATCCAATCACTGGTGAGTTCATCTGTCAATGATGCCTTGCTTTTTTGTAACAAAAATCATTATAGAGAAGACGCTGGTTTATCTCCTCAAGACCGTAGCTTCGAACTCATCAAATTAATGGCTTGCATATTACAAATTCTTTCTCCATATCATAACCATTCAAACATAATTGACATCATGTTCATCAAAATTTGTTTGTCTACCACTTTAGATTATTTTCAAATCGATAACACTGGTATGATAACAGTAAAAAAATCTTTGCTACCCATCGTTACATTCTCTGTTAACTTCATGGTGTTCGTCTTTGACGGTGGTTTGCCACAACTGAACGATAGTACTCTTGTATCAGTGAACATCACCCGACAGTATGGGAATTTACATACTCCTGTCATTGTTCCACCAATCACCAGTATCAATTTGCCTGAGGTAAGTATGAAAATTAGTTAATTTATTTTTCAGAACCTGACCAGTTAATAAAGTTCATTATTAAAAAATAATTATCAAACTTTTGTAGCTGTTTACTATAACTATGATTTTGACCAAAAATCATTGATATTGTATCAACATAATAAGTTAAAATGACTAATTGAATTAATTATTAATTTCCGGAATCTGTTTCCATATCCCCATTAATGAAAACCAACAACTTTTTATTCTTCTATAGAACACGGCCGTTAATTCCATAATCCATGTTGTTTATGCCATTGATGCAGACAGTGATATCAATGGTGAAGTTTTCTATGATATTCAGTATGTTGGCAGTCTCAGCGGTAACGCCATGGCAGCATTTGATATTGACCCCCTAACTGGTAATATCACAACTATTAGTGAATTTGACTTTGACAAAGGTTCAAAATATTACCAGGTGAGTGAAATTTAATTATTAACATAGGGGGCTTTTTTTAATTATTCAAATCGTGCACCTGTGTTCAAAGAAACTGCTGTAAAGCAGTATGCGTTGATTAATGGATTACCTCATTGCATCATGGGATACTGTTCATGTTGGTCGGTCATTTATTTCTCCAATGTAATTATAATTCTGAATCAGTAAACAAGATAGTAAACAAGATAGTTTTATGTTCAGAAGAGAGCTTTGTTAATTGGTCTCACAGGAAGTTTCTGTTTGCTACATAATTTGCATATTCTTGTGCAAGATCCCCTAATTTGATGATTATTATTTGATACAATCCATTCTGTTCGCCACATAATTTGCATATTCTTGAACAAGACCCTCTATTTTAATGATTATTATTTGATACTATCCATTCTGTTTCTTATATAATTTTGCATATTCTGGTACAAGAACCCCTATGTTGATTATTATTTGACATTATTATTATCCATTGAAAGCTGAAACCAACCTTCTACCAGCTTTAATATTCACTTTAATAATAATAATGGTATGAATTTGTAGATAATGGTTTATGCAGAAGACAAAGGCTACCCATCTAGAAAAGGATATGGTGTGGTAGGAATTACAATAACAGATGTCAATGATGAACCTCCAATGTTTATTCAGGTATGCAATTTTTTGCATAATTTTTGCATATTTTTACTTATAATACAAATATTTTTCATTATAATACAAATTTTGATCGGTGATCAATATTCTGATTTTTGTGTTTTATGTAAATATCTCTGAATTATTTTTCGTTTATTCACAGCCTGTCGGAACGTACCATGTGACTGAAAATGTTTTCAATGCATCTGTGGGTGTTGTTATGGCAACTGATATCGACAGTGGGGATAATGCCTATATTGAGTACTCCATCACAGGTAAGGTGACGACAGTCAAAAGAACAATTTTTCCTAAAAAATCAAGAGAATTCACTAGGTCAGGAGGTAAATTTACATCTCAATCAGGAAACAACTTTGATATCGAAGCGTATTTTGACAACACAAGTTTATTAATTTAGAACAACCTGACAGCAAACTCCACGTCCATTTTGAAGGTTGGTAACCAATGTATAAAAAAAATCATCTTCATGTAGGTGAAACTTGTGTAAAACTGTTCAGATCAGTGGATATTTTAACCTATTTGTTCCTATCTAGAAGATTCATTAGACTTGTTAAGAATAAATCACTGTTACTATATTAAGAGAGAATGTTCCTTGATTTGGGGATAATCTCCATTTTGGGGAAAAGTGTCTTGTTGACTTTGAGCATTGTAACAATTAGCAAACAAACAGTAAGACTGACGAATGGCCAAATCTATATTGACAGGCGTACATTTACATTTTTTCGTTTACTTCAGATCAAAGCCTGATGTTTGGTAACAATTTGACAATATATGCATGAACATAGAATGCATTGAAACAGTCTTCTTGCACATTTACAGCAGAAAATCCAAGATTGAATTATAAAACACAACAGCATAAAAACAGTATTGAAAACTGGGGTAATCCTACGTACATGATTGTTAATGTGTTTCCGGTACTATTGCTGTTGTTTAATAACAAACACTGTACTATTGTCATTGTAAACACATTTTTAATTATAAACCACTATATTTTCACAAGAGACAAATTATAATATATATGAAATTCTGTAACTGTGAAAACATTCAGGGATATTTATGAAGAAAAGTAGTGTGTATCTGGTGGTAAATTATGTTTCATTACAGTGGATACATGTACATCGTAAATGTCATATGCATCATATTTCTTCTCTATTTGAATAATTTATAGATAAGACCTTCCAGTACCTTCAAAATGAAATGTGTGGGAAAATGATAGCATAATATCTACTTTTAATATATTTTTAAAGCTAAAACAACATCATTTTTACACATTTTACATTTTAAGCTTGTTGTAAAATCATTTTTTTTCTCTAACATTTAATTTCACTGTTTTGATATCGTGAGCTTTATACACTTGTTTTTAAGTTTGAGAATTTGCGAGGGAAACAATGTGTTCTATTGTTATTTTATCTGTTCACATAAATTCTAGTTAGTAAACTTGGCTTACTTATCGGCTAGAATAGCGAGACTGAAAAACAGTGAATAATTATTGCATTTACAGTATTTGATTCTCTCTTGCGTATGCAGACTATTTTTAATAATACTCAACAAATTGAATTGGAATATAAACACAATATGCTCTCTTCTCTAAGTAATTTGAGGAAGATGTACTGCAAAAAATTAGTGTGTTCTAAATTACTTAATTTACATATATAGTGGTGGACATTGGTTATTGCTTCATAACTGGTATGCTGTTTTCATTCCATCAGGTGGAAACGATGGAAACGAGTTCACTATCATCCCAGAAACAGGGGAACTGTTCACCAATGTTGAATTGGACCGAGAGGAAAATGGAATGTACACCCTGACTGTCACTGCAACCAATTCTAAAGCAGCTCCGCATTTCATGGATGCTATCACCATGACAATATCTGTAGATGACGTGAATGATAATGCTCCAGAATTCTTTTCATATTCTTCTCTTGTTGTCATACCAATGACTACACCTGTCAATGATGTTATTACTACAGTGCAAGCGAATGATACTGATCTGGTATGACATTAAATTTTGTGTTTTTTCTTAAACAATTTTGTTTCTGTTTATGACTTTACATAAGTCAAAGTCACAAAATAAATTCATATAATTTTTTTCAATATTTAAAAAAAAAAATTATCAAGACCTGTAGGCAATATGGAATTATGTCTATTAGGTCCAAAATTAACAAAGATCTTGTAGAAAATGCATAAGAATTTGGAAAATGTTTCACTAAAATTATGTCGGGAAAAAAATATGATAGTTAAAGGGTTAAAGCTGTACTATAATCTTTTTGGAAGCCAATAAAACTGAATTCACACATTATTCAGGTCACATGACTCTCAAATTTCGGGAGATTATTTTGTGATTATGTTTCCAACATCTTAGAGTGTTGGTAAGTCAGATCAGAAATTTTAAGATGACTAAAATTTGTTTGAAAAAACTTGTTTTTTGATTTATTGTCATAATCAAGTCATTAGGATTTCAGAAAAAATACGTTTGCTGGTAAATTTTCAATTGGAAACATAAAATGAAAGACTGGACAATGCATAAAACTTTGATTGAATTTTGCCAAGGCACCTTTGACCAGTCAATTAATTAATTAATGCTTCTGCTTGGTAACTGAGAGACAAACATGAAATTGTCGTTTTTTATTTTTTTAAAGGGTGCCAATGCTGCTGTGTTTTACATGTTGTCTCAGGGCAATGATCATTTCACAGTGAACAGAGACTCTGGTGACATTACTACCACAGTGTCATTGAACAATGGTGAAGCTTTGCAGACATTCCAGGTATGTAGTAGTTAATTAAATTTTGACAGTGAAATGAGATTCTCATTTATAAAATGGGGAGTGGTGTGTCACACTAAAAACTGAAACAATTTATTTCACAATCCATTCAAGAAGGCCGAATGGCAGCCATTTTTAGCTTAAAAATGATCAAAATCAAGCATTTCTGGCATTCTGGAATCGGATCTTGGCTGTTTAGAGATGGATTTTCTTCAAACTAGGTGTATACATTGGACATTATAGGTCCCTGATGCACATTTTGAGATCAGATTCAAAATGGCCGACTAGTGGCCATTTTGATTTAATGAATGTGGTTCTAGAGCCAATCTCTGACATGCTTTGACTGATTATATGTTATATATATTATATTTATATTATATTTTATATATTCATTATACATCATTGGTTTGACGATCTGATTAAAAATGGCTGGATGGTCATTTTTGTGATAAAAAATCATCGCAATTGAGCATTAGCTTCTGGATCCATATCTCTGACAAGTTTATTTTCAAACTACATAACTAAACAAAAAAATTGAAAAGTTTTTTGCTCTTGATTTGCTAGTTACCTCAGGTATAAGTGGAATTAGTGTAAAAAAATGTATAATAATAAAATACATTATTACATTACAAAGTTATGTTTTTTTTTCAGTTGACGGTTGTAGCTTATGATGGTGGATATTCTAGACTGGAAAGTTCTATTGATGTCACAATCAAAGTGTTAGATTACAGTACAGGACAACCCACATTTACAGGCATAGATGTTCAAGAATTCATGTAAGTTGTTACGGGTGTACATACGTATGTCAGTGTGTCAACATTTGACTGTAACTGTAGCTGATTCAAAATTCATTGTGCTTATGGGAAACATTATTGAGAGGGAGGGAGAGAGGGAGGCAGGGATCTTCCCCATTTCATTGCATTAAATGCATGTATTATCTTGACAACTGATACCATTATATGCATTATATTTGATTTCATCTTACACATCTCTAGAATGCCAGTTGCCATGGAAAATGAGAATCCTGGTAGTTACAGTGAATTGATCCCTGCTGCATACGATCCATTGGATGAGGATGGTAATGATATCAGATACCACATTGTTGCAGGAAATGATGATGGTAAGTCATGTGATACATGTATGACTATATGGTCATGTGATCTTGCCATGCAATGTATAACTTGCCACATACATGTATTATTAACTGGTAAATTGTAGATTTAAAATTTCTCAAAATCCACTTTGTAGTCGACTGGGGGGAAAACTGTGGATATATATGCATGACTGTGTTGTGATCTGACATCAAAAGAGTTTAAAGGTCACTAAAAATCGAATGATGCATGGCAACCACTACACACCCCATCTGTGAGTGGTAATATAAAATCAATATTTTCCTGTATCCCTAGGATATTTTATGCTGGATCCTGTTACTAGAATTCTAACTACGCTGATAACACTAGACAGAGAATCCATATTAGAGCATAAACTGGTAATTAGAGCGACGACAGTGAGAAACACAACAACTACTGGAAGAAGGAAAAGAGATACTGGTAAAAGAAATTATTTTTTGATTGTACCTCTTAAGTTTGTAAATTTGGTCTTCTCTAAAACTACTGGAAGATATGACAAAAAAATGACAAAAAAAAAAGCAAGTACATGTTCTCACTGCTTTTTTGTGAGCATATTATCAAAATTCAGTGGAGTGATTTTGTTTTTATTTTAAATAGTGAGAATTGAACTCGTTAACACCATGATTAATTCTTAACGAGTGTAAATGAATAATTAACTATTGTGTTGCAGATCTTGGTGCAAATGAGATGTACATTGTGGTTCCTATCGGAGACAGTAATGATAATAAACCTGTATTCCAACAAGACACCTATGTCAAAGGCATCATGGACGACATCGGATATGGAAGTTCTGTTTTACAAGTTGAGGTATTTATTGTTATGTTGCATAGTTTATAAATATTATAAAATATACATTAATAGTTGTCTCCCACAATGCTTTGCATATATGTGCAATAACATGCTCAGTAGTGCAAATTTTGAATTCTGCTAAAGATCAAATCTCATCTATAATGTATTTGTATCTACCTAGCTCTCAAAGAAATATTTTAAAATATTCATAGCAAAATAGATCAGGGCTCATTTGACAATGTTCAACATTTAATTTGTATTATTTTGTTTATTAAATTATGTATTACTAATGTATATTACATTATGTACTATCTGTTTATTACTGATGTGTATCACATGTATTACTAATGTGTATCGTATTATGTATTACTAATATATATTACATTATGTACTATCTGTGTATTACTGATGTGTATTATCTTATGTAATACCAATGTACATTACATTACGTACTATCAGTGTATTACTAATGTGTATCCTATTATATATTACTAATGTGTATCACATTATGTATCACCAATGTGTATCACATTATGTATTACCAATGCATCACATTATGTATTACTGATGTGTATCACATTATGTATTACTGATGTGTATCACATTACGTATTACTGATGTGTATTATATTATGTATTACCAATGTGTATCACATTATGTATCACCAGTGTGTATCACATTATGTATTACCAATGTGTATCACATTATGTATTACCAATGTGTATCACATTATGTATTACCAATGTGTATCACATTATGTATTACCAATGTGTATCACATTATGTATTACTAATGTGAATCACATTACGTATTACCAATGTGTATCACATTACGTATTACCAATGTGTATCACATTATGTATTACCAATGTGTATCACATGTATTACCAATGTGTATCACATTATGTATTACCAATGTGTATCACATTATGTAGTACCAATGTGTATCACATTATGTAGTACCAATGTGTATCACATTATGTAGTACCAATGTGTATCACATTATGTAGTACCAATGTGTATCACATTATGTAGTACCAATGTGTATCACATTATGTAGTACCAATGTGTATCACATTATGTAGTACCAATGTGTATCACATTATGTAGTACCAATGTGTATCACATTATGTAGTACCAATGTGTATCACATTATGTAGTACCAATGTGAATCACATTACTGTAAAGGGGGTAATTATTCACTGGGTTTTAATTTAGCTTATTTCGCTGACTGGAAAAATGCGCTAAATTAAAACACAGTGAATATGTAAAATTTAGCATAGAACACATTATCTAAATGACGAAACCGTGAATTTAAAACCCACTGAATATGCCCGAAATGGTAAATCAGTGAAATTTAAACCCAGTGAAAATTAGTCATTTTACAGTATGTATCACCAATGTGTATCACATTATGTATTACTGATGTGTATTATATTATGTATCACCGATGTGTATCACATTATGTATCACCGATG